ATTCAGTTCGTAAACTAATTGTTACATTGCTAATTCAATATTTAGTCAGCAAACTAAATATTTAGCTGCCAAGATACACATTTGGTTTACTAGATATTTAGTTCAGCAAAACCAGAAAACCATATAATTCACAGAAACATTCAATGCTACTCAATCTCAACATTTACTTAGCAAGCTAAACATTTAGCTAACTATTTAGCTTGCTAGTTGAATGGTTAGCTAGCATCCATCCATCCCAGAGCTGGTTGTAAACATCTGCTCTGCATTTGGGCCCAGAAATCAGATGAACTCTGATCCGTCCGTGTTCCAGCGAATGTTTGTTTGTAATGAAGTCAGCTGTGAACGGCTGAATGTCGGCCATCATTAATCACTCTGCCCTCCTCCCTTTATTTGAGCTGTGAGAGCTTTCTTTGATCCGCCCGGCCTGTAACACACATGTCCTGCTCTCTGTTGTTCACAGAGGCTCAAAACGCCTTCAAGCTTCAAAAAGCAACATGTTCAAATTAGCATCAGCACGACTTTGCATTGCTTTATTCCTTCATTATCTAATTGTTGTAAATGTTCTGTCATGTTTTTGTCCAGGCTACCTGTTGCTTCCATCCGGCCGCCATTTTCATCCTGGAAAGGAAGCGATTGTTGCAGAGCAGAGATCTGCTCTCATGACAGGGAGGAGAAACTCAATCTGCACCACAGACATCATAATGACTTTGTTTTGACAAAGTGGTTCAAATAAATCCTTAGAAAAAAGCCCATTCACCCAAACATGATTAGCTGGGTGGGAATGATTCGGATGGATTTTCCTCCATGTTGCCGCAGTAAATTAGCCGCAGTAATGTGACGACGTTATAATGACACTGGTAAATGTTCATTATCATCTTGTTTTATGATCTTCAGTTTCATCATAATGAGCCGGTCTGAGCTTGTGGTTTTTGACATAAAACACTTTTTTCTCCCATGGTTGGAATAAACGACGTCTTATTTCCAGAGTTGGATGGTAACTAGTAACTTTTACTGGAGAAATGTTTTCTTGAACAAAAAAGAAACAAATATGTTTTAACCAAAAACTCACCAGACACAAAATATTCACACCTGCAGTTTCTGAAGCTTTTTTGTTGAAAGAAAATGATTTGGAAAAAATATTTTGCCTGATTTTATTTCTTCTTACTTAAAGTAATTATTGTCATTTTCATCCCTGAAATACCAAACTTTCCACTTCAGTTACTCAGTACTTGACCAGACTTTTTACCAAATACTTTTTCCGTCTTTATAATTTCTTTGGTTACTTTTTAGTTTTACTGGAGTAAAAACATGGTGAAGTAGTGCTACTATCCCTCGGCTTATTTCCCCAAAAGATACAGACAAAAGTGGAAAAGCTGTGTGAAAAACTAAGTTTATGATTTAATAAAACAACCTTATAGCCTCATATTAGCATTAGCACATCTACATGCTTAGACTGTCAAAGTCAAGCTTGCATAGCTGGCCTGCTCCCCACATTCGTCAATGAAAACTTCACAAAAATGAAAACTTTTCCTAACCTGTGAATGTGAGAGCCTTGGATCTTGATATCTAGTTGTTGTAATTTTTGTGTCATTTTTGTAGGAAAATAAGCAGAGTTGGGCAGCTACATGCTAAGAAGGTCAAAGTCAAGCTAGCATAGCTGGCCTGCTCCCCACTTTCTCGCCAAGGAATTAAGAAATTATTGACTTAAAACAAACTTTTATATCTTGCTGAACAGTTACTTCTAAGTTAGTTTTGTCTAAGTGCAGTAAGATGTTTACAGAAGAAACTAAATAAAACAGTTTTGCAATGTAAAAGATATTTGTCTTCTACATGTTGGAGGAAGTGATAAATCAGTGTTGACAGGGCAACACCCCCGTCATAATACCTACTTGGTCACAAAGCTCAGTGTTAGAGGAAAATTCTCTTCTAAGACCCTTCCATCGCTCTGGGTATCCATGTCAGGCCTTGTTCAGCTTCAGGCTATTTCTGAACCCATTTACAGCCGGCGCTGTTATTTTGGGTCAATGGGAGCACAGGTGGGCCTGCGGTGGACGGAGGCGTGTGTCATAACAACCCCAAGAGACGCCACTCAACTGCTGCAGAGTGACAAAGTGTGTGAGGACTGCAGGGAAGCTGTCAGCCCAGATTTCTGCTCCACACTGCAGTGCTTCCCAGAACGGGTCAGAACCACGTTGAATAGCCTCCATGATGAGTTTATCCTGTTAATGGAACTGAACTGAGCAGACTGTAATATTTAGGGGAATCACGGTGCATATCAATCAATCAATCAATATGGAGATTATTTACCAAGAAGTACGATAGTAAACATTCACGAAGCAAATCACTTTTCAGATTGTTTTTTTGTTTTGTTTTTATTGAACTTTTTAGGTCTAAAAAAACGGGGATTAATTTTTCATATTTTTACTGTCATTTGTTCATTTATAAACTTGCTAATTGAATATAGTTTGAAACTAAAGTATTAGCAGATTTGTTAGGAAGCTTAGATAGCTTCCTGTCTAAGCTAATAATTTCGCTTTGTTAGCTTAGATCCTCAGCTAACTCAGAAAGTTTTGATAGCTTCCTTACTAATCTTGGGAACTAAACTAAGGAAGATTAGTTCTTAAACTCAGCTGGCTAAGCTAAGGAAGCTTAGATAAGTTTCTAGCATCGTTAGGAAGCATGCAGAGCTTCCTAACGATGCTAAAATCCAGCCAAACTGTTGGTTTCATTCATTTATAAATGTCATAAATCAAAACTAAATATTGAACAAACAAGCAAAATGTTTTGGTTTGACTGCGTAACGTTACAAAATGATGCACCAAATATTTCAGCCTGGTTCATTTTGGACGATGGTTTATCTGTGATCATCCATTCTCTAGATATCATCACATCCTTATTAAATGGTTGAAAACATCTTTTTCCTTTCAGAAGAAGAAGAAGTTAATGTTGAATTTAATTTTTTAAGTGCAGAATCAAAGGTGTAGCCTGTGTGAGCAGCCTGGCAGTGGAAGCGCAGTGAAAGGTGATCTTTGCATTTCGAATGAACTGAAAACGAAACCCTTTTTCCATGCTGCTGATTTCTGACACGGCTGGTAACCAACGTTCGAAACGAGCCGCTGCTACACAAACCGCTGCTCTGTCGCCCGTGTAACGGATCCGCCCTGCCGGAGCAGCGCCGTCTGGCCCGACGGGGTTTGAGTTTCCAAAGCTGTGCAGAGCAGCAGCATGTCCCATACCGGGTCAGCGGGTCAGGACCCGGCGGTCCTAGATTTGGTTTTTATCTTGGGTTTCTCATTGGTCGAGTTTGACTTTGTTGCTTCTGTATCGATTGTTCATGTCTGTTTGTGAGTACAGAGACCTTTTCTTTTCTAACAAGATGATTTCCGATGAGTTGGTCGCTGAAAACCTGACATACAGCAGATGAAATTTCTCAGGGTTCGAGTCAGATCCCAGTAACATGCTGTCTGCATTCAATGTTTTCTTCATGCTGGTTTTTACCCACAGTGAAATGTTAGGAAATCAAGCTAACTGCAAATCTAGAAATCAGAAGGTCAGCAGTGGTGGACACTGTTTTTAGTGCTTTTAGTGCTAAAAAGTTAGTTGCACTAACCTAAAGCACTAACAATGTTATATCTGCTAATGCCTCAGTGATACATGAACACAGTATTTTGAGTAAGCTGATGCTAAAGCGCTAACTTTAATTCAAATTATAACTGCCTTTGAAAGACTGAAGAAATGTCTCCATAAAGTGTTATCAGGGAAGCTAAGTGTGCTAAATGCTTTCAAAGTTATCTAAAGCAGTAAACGGGACATTAGCGCCGCCACTAGAATCAGTTATTGAACCATAACTGGTTAATAATAATAATAATGCTATTAGCATTGGCTATATTTCACTATTTGACAGATAGAAAGTTTGCCTGCCAGCTGAACAGATAAGACAGAAGAAATGTTTATTAATGATCCATAAATCAACACTTTCGCCTCTGTTGCTCCAACTAGCAGAGACAGGAAGGAGGATGGAGACGAGCTCCGGGTGAGCGCAGCGGCCATCTACCCAGTGAGCTGTTGGTGGGTTTCCTCTGCGCCGGAGGTGAAACCGCCTCTGCGGTTCCAGCCGGGCCCCCGAAGTCGGTCCTGGAGGGCCGGCATGTTTCAGCCTCTCCCTGATTTAACGCCCCTGGATCAAATGATGGCTCGTTAGAGGCCTAAGAAGAACATTGACATTCTGGAAAGGCTGTTGGTACCACCAAGGAGAGAACTAAAACATGCAGGATGCAGGCCCTCAGGACCCACTTCGGGGACCCCGGGTTAGAGGAACCAGACTCTGGCGTGAAGCTGGTTACCAACCCAACCAGGCTCTCTGTGTTCACTGGGAAAGCAGCCAATTCCCTGCAACTCATCCACCACATGTGGGAGTTTTTATCTCCAAAAAAGATGTTCGGAGTTGTAAAAGCGTCAGGATGAAATATGGCGGTGAGGCAAGCGGGAGGTGTGAGAGTGTTGTCCTCCTGCTGCTGTTTTATGATCCACCAACTGCGTCAGACTGTTTCCATTCCAAGCGCGTCTTCCAGCCACCGGCTTTCTGCGCCTTGGTGCCCCGCCAGAAACCCGAGATCCCGTCCAGACTGGAGACGCGACTCCGGCCAATATTTACTGAGACCGACGCCATCTTTCCCAAGTCTGAATAATTTAAAAGTTCGTCTGTCAGAGAGCCACCGGCGCTTTTCATTAAACTGTCCACTGATGGTGAATTAGCTGCGTTATTAATGAAAGCAAATTGGTGAAAATTCAAGAGGAATCATGACTGAAGGCCTCCAAAACAAACCTGCAGCACTTCTGCCCTCTGGTGGTTGAACTGTCGAACTGCAACTGCAACATGAAGCCTTCTGTCATTAGTACATTAATTTCTGATCATGTCAATTTAAAAAACATAATACAATAAGGTTGAATTAAATGTATCTTTGAAATTGTTTATTCTTAATGGGAAATATCTGTGAATTACAAAATCTATGATTTTGACTGCAAATTACAAAAACAATTGTAAAAATATTTATAATTTAATGAATACAAACTTTTATTTATACATTTTTCCACAACTGACTCAAAATAAAAATGAGTATCACACACATTGACCTAAATCTTACATTTAAAATGTAAACAATTTAAAATATTTCATGTGGAAGCCTTTAAATAATATTTAGTCGTTAATTCTCAATTAAAAACATTAAAATTCAGAAGTGTGCTCACTGCTGTTTTTCAAAATTAGCTAAAGGCACTAAATGAAAAATGAGTTCTGCTGTTAAAATGATTATTTTAAATAATATTACAGGGTTAATTTTACCCAGGTGGTGTTTGGATTCAACAATTATTCATCCTAATGATGATTAGATCCCGTCTCTGAAATTAGAGCACCAACAGAAAATAATATTTCACACATTAATTTTCGATCTCTAAAATGTCCCTGACTGGTGGAAATGTGTCTAGAACTCCAGGATCTGTGAGAAGCTGAAGGAAGTCTCCACATTTCTGCGGCCCTTTGTTGAGAACCAGGTCCAGAAGCCCGGTGATGGTTTCCTGTGGGCTGGAGGAAAACTTCAGGTTCTGGTATTCTCTCTGTGAGACGATGGATTTCTGGTGGACGAGCTGCAGGACGTAGCTGTGATCGCCCATCAGGCATTCGATCAGCTTCACCTTCTTCTCTCTGATCGTCTTTTCAGCAGGGTGCTCCAAAATGCAGAGCAAACGTAAAAAAGAGCAATGAAAAATGTTAATATTTAGAGTTTTTAGCGGTAATTCTTGTCAGGCTTTCCGGTGGGTAAGATTGGGTCTGTTTACCTGGTAGAGATGGTCAGCGGTTCCTGCTGGAGCTGAATGGAAAACAGGAGAAAACACGACGGCGTCAGGATAGAAAACAGAGGAATACATTTCTGCTAACAAACCTGATGCAGGTCTGATCTGAGCCGTTACCTGAGGGGACCTGGGATGGTCTGATGTTCACAGAGAAGTTTATGTTCTCAGCTTTGACTCCGTCTATCCTGTCAGCAATGATGACGCTCCCATCTGTTGCAGTATAATGAGCGCCTGATGCAGAATTACCTGATTTAGAGGAAAATTAGACAAAGACGGAATGAAAATCAACATTAACTCTCAGAGAAATGAGTGTCAGAGGTATTTATCCCTACCAGATGAATTTCCTCTTGTGCTGCTCACTGTTTCCACGTTACATGTGAGAGATTTTGTATTTACATTACGGAGTGTTCTGCAGGTCACAACGCTGTTTTCATCAGCAAATATCGATGCAACAGCCGAATCTGCAAACACAAAATAATGCATCAGAAATCTGTGATCCAATTCCAGAGATTCACTCAGTCATTCTGAGGCTCTTTAACAATCATCCAGTCATGAACTCTTATTTGATAATATTCCCAAGTATTTATGGCTCTAGATAAAGTTTAAATGATAAATCTGATGAGACGTTTCCTGACCGTCAGAGGATGATCTGAAGAACTGCTGGAGCTGATGGTTCCAACCCTGATTCCTCCTCAGGATGTCCATGAACGCCTCACAGCTGTTTGGTCCTTTACTAATGATCACTTTCAGCAGGTGGCTCATCTGCTCCCCCTTCGGCTGCTCTGCTATCTGTTTATATTCATTTACACTTAAAATATCTCCGCACTCATTGAGGATGTGAGCAGAATCTGCTGAAAGCCACAGGCTCAGTTGGTCCTGCTGGGACTGCAGTAGCTCCATGTCCTGCAGGGGGCACCAGAGGGCAGCGGGTGACACTCCACCTTCACCAGAAGGAGAGCAAAGCAGATTCAACTGAAATAAATTGCTCTATTTAGTAAATGAATTAAATTCATCCAAGTACATGGTTAAGTTTATTAAGTTGTCAAGTTGAACAAACATCATAAATTAAAATCTTTCAATTAGTTGGAAGCATTTTATTTCATTTGGATAAACCATTCTTGTTTTGCAGTGTTCATTTAAACACTCAAAACTTCTGAAAAGGAAAACCAAAGTTTTCTATGTTTGTTTTTCACTTAAACCTTCTAACAGTTCATATTTCTGTCTTAACTTTTGTCATTTTCCTGCACAAAACAAAGCTGCATGAAACCTGAACGGCTGAACTGACCTTTAAAACCTGGAGTTTCTCATAAACTCATCTCATCATTTATTCTGGAACTAGAGCAAATATAAACAGTCTGAGCATCAATACGTTGAGTTTTTACCTTTTCAGAGGGAAATGCAGAAGGAAATGCAGCATTTACTGGAGAAGAGAGGAAGTTTCTGTTCCTCAGAAAGGAAACAGCGGTTCTTCCTGTTTGGGTTGGTCGGAAACCTGATCCGGTAACCTGATCCGGTTTGCGGCTTTACGCGCGCAAACATGAGCGCGAGCTGCATAGCTGCGTAATAAACAAATGACGTCATCTTCACGGCGCAAGGCGGAGGAATTTCAAAAGGAGGCAATAAGATACTGATTATTGATAGATAAGCAATAACTACATTTTATTATATTATTACAAAAAAAAATAGGAGTTTTAAGTAAATTAATAAAAGCATCTAAAAATATATAAGAAAAAAAAACAAATAACCTCATCTACATAAATAAAATCCTAAAGCAAAACAAAGTCTTCACTACAATAATAATGATGATGATGATGATAATAATAATAATAATGATAATAAAATGATAGAAATAAAAATCGTTAGGCTTTATTATGTTTAAATAACAGTAGACACCGTACTTACACATAATTACACAATTAAATAAAAAATAATTAAATTAATAAAAGTATCCAACTAAAAATAGATAAAAATAAAGAATATCACGTTTTTTAAACAAAAGCTTGTAAACACAAAAAAACAAAACAAAAAAACTTATGCAATAGAAATAATAAATATGCTACATATAAGCTTTCATATATAAATAAAATATCACAATAATAATTAATTACATGGTTTAATTCTATAAAACGTTTAGTAAATAAAATTTTTTAAAATATAAATAGAACAGACAAGACGTATGAAAGTGAAAATAGATGATCCTATCTATCCTATTAATAAATGTGTAAAACACATAAAACTGTAAATAAACCATGTATTATTATTACTAGTAATGATAAACAATATGAATAAAAGATATAAATCAAATAATTAATAAATAGGGCCTTTAAATGTAATTAAATTCAGGATGTTGTCTGTTGGAGGTGAGCAACGTGGTGACGTTGTTTGGCGCTCAGTGCGTAGGTCAACGTCAAAGGGCGGACATTTTGTAATTATCCGCTTGGTCGGGCATCAGAGCGAGTAGGCCGCTTCTGGTTGTTTTCACTCGCTGCCAGGAGTTTTCGCTAGATTATATTTCGGACAGATTATTCCAAGTTACTGACAAAATTATAGAAGGCGTTGTTTTGATGTTGTGCGGATGTTTTTTCGGCCTCAGCGTGTCGGCGGCCATGTTGGCTAGCCCCGCTGAAACACCTGCGAGGAGAAACGGCGCGAGGAATTAGCATGAGACAAGGATGGATTGGAGGGGAAAATGGCGCCGAAAAGGGAATGGAGAGTCACTTCAGTCAAACGGATCTGTTGAATTCATCATCCAAAGGTAAGTGAAAAAAATCCCGGACCAAGAAGATGGACCAGGTAGGAGCTGCTGCTGATGCTAACGCTGCTGATGCTAACGCTGCTGATGGAGGCCAAACGCTTTGGCTTTAGTGCCTACTGGTTTGGAAAGTTTTCAATTAGCTGCTGATTTGTATAAAATGGCTGCTTGTTTTGTTAGTTTTAGGTTTGTTGTGTTAAATGGCTGCTGATTTGTTGTGCTAAACTGGCTCAGAAGGATACTGTTAAGGTGAAAATCTTCAGCCTTGGTGAGTTTTTCTGAAGCTGTGGTTATGATGGATCATCTGATGCAAGAAGCTTGTTTTAGTTTGACAAGTTTTGATGCTTCAACAGAAAGCTGGGTAATGGAAATAAAAATGGCTGGTTGCTTTGGAAGATAAAAATAAATATCTGTTCAGAGAATTTGCTCACCAAAGTAATTCAGAGGCATAGTAAACATCATCATATTGAACCTTGATAAATTTATATCAATGAAGTGATTGGAGATTTTTAAAATGTGTTTATACTCTTAAAACTGACCTGATGTTTCTGGGCTAAAACAAGACTTTATGTACTGATATATTCAATATCAGGACTCTTAATCCAATATTCATCCACAATTTACATCTGATTTTTAAAAAATTTTTTGTGGAACAGACTTGTAATATAGAATATTATCGTCTATTACTAAGTCAATATTTACCTAACAGTTATTTCGACTCAAAATATATAAATTACATTTGAACTAATATTTGAGACATGAATATCAATGCTCATCAGTACAATGTGTTGTTCATTCAATATTAACAACTTTGAATTTAAATGTGAACAATCGTTTTGGCATTGGGAAGAAGGCGGCCGCGTCATTTGATTTCATTTTTGATTTTTTTGGAGAGAGTTGCTCGACCTGCCGGTGTGAGGCCACAAAGGTAACGTTGTTTTTCAACCATCTTGTTTTTAGAATATCTTAGTGTTGTACCCATTCATTTTGTACTATTAGGTTTTTCTAGAACCCATTTTTCTATTGTTATTTCGGTCTAATTTTTAAAAAAGACAAACAGAAACTGCTAAAGGAAGTAGATGACCTGTAAAAGCGACTAACCATGTTTTCTTTTGGAGTTTAACCTTGTTTTTCTTTCAGCATCGGACTCTCATGCTTTTACGTTATACTTGATAACTTGGGTAAATATATTAATGTTTTTTGTAATATTTTGAATATACAATTATATGAAAATGTAAACTTTTTCTGTAAGGAATGAACAGGAATGTTTTTAGACAATGGGATGAAGCAATAGAAAATCTGCGCATGCACAAAAAAACATGCAAACACCAAATAGATATTTTAAATAATACAATTATTTTCTTACAGACTAAACCCAAACTCAATACTTTGAGATTCCATTATATCAGCATGTTTTACAGACATTAACAGACACAAAAGTTTAAAGTGAGTCGTGCAATCCCTTTTATTTTCACTATTGCAGACAGTATAATAGATAGTAGACATTTGCTTCAAATTTATTCAAAAATAAAAAGTTAGTCTGATTTTTATGAATGGAGAACTAATGGATGTGAAGTGTTTTGGGGTTTAAGGAGGTTTAAAGTTGCAATCTGCACCATCTGAACCTTAAATCTGTAAATTGAACCTCTGAAGTCACTAAGTTACAAATATTAGGGCTATTAAAAATAAATTACAGGAGTAGTCAAATCACGAGAAACTTCATATTATAAATTCAAAATGACACGAGAATAGTAAATTCAAGAATCATTGTATGGGAACAAAGTTGAAATAACACGAGAATAAAGTCATAATAATGATCATAGTCACAATGTTACGAGTTACAAGAATAGTCATATTGCAAAACTAAACATGCTAGAAATTAAGGTGTATAAAAATAGTTATTAAAACAGTCTTAATGACTTTATTCCCGTAATACTGCAGATTCATCCTCATTATTCTTGCCTGTGTTCCCGTGATGGCAGTTCTTTTGCTCTGTCGCCCTGATTGGACCCAGTTTTCACTGTTGAGTGTTTTTATTCGTCGGGTTTTTAATGAACGTAGCGTTTCTCTCCAGAGTCACTCTCCTCCCCGTCGTCTGATTCAGTTCGCTCAGATCCACTCCGGAGTCCAAACTGGTTTCTCGACTCTCCATGGTCCTCCGTCGTCGCTGCTGCTCCGACCCAGCGTACCGGATCTCCGCGGCCGGTTTCCCCTCCAGCGAGACGAACCAGGCCCGCGGTGGCTGGGGCGACGCGACTTTAGACAAGCTTGTGACGGCGTGGACCGAATGTCTGCTTCCAGCGAGTTTGTTCAGTGTTCCCGGTACTGACGCCGATTCCGGCAGGCCGAAGGTCGTCCTGGATGCGGGTTCTGATCCGTCAGCGGTCCGGAGCTGCTCCTCGGTTTGGAGAGTCTGGGTGAAGCTTTCTTTCCTCTGTGGCTCGGCGGCGGCTCCGTTTGAGGCTCGCGGCAGCGTGGCGGACCGGCTCCAGTCGGATTGGGCCGGATGTTCCTCCAGGTGGAAAAACGCCGGAGCAGGAAGGATCGCCACTGGTTGGTTGTAGAAGAACAAACCGTCCGGAGTTCGATGTTCCAAAGTCGCACCACCAAAGTCCAACTTGTTCCCGTCCAACGAAACCACCACAGCGCTGGGGTTGGCGATCACATCACTGCTCTTCGCTGGAACACAGAACCCATTGCTCTGGTTCTGGTTCTGTCCAGATGTTTCAGACTCCTCTTCGTCTGTGCAGGTGGTTTGGTCTTTTCTCACCACTGCTGCCGTCTGCCTCGGTTTGATCTGGCTGAAATTCCTCCTGAAAACAAAAACAAAAACTAATAATTATTGTCAAGTTTCTCCTGGTTTGATTTCACTGTGCATTCCCAACTTGAAAAGGATTATCTTTTTTTTTTTATTGTGAAATATAACTGGCGTTCACTCAAGGAGTCTTCATTTTAGTTATATTTATTTTTATATGATGCTCCAATCATACAGGTGAAAACCCTCAAAAGAAACAGAAACATCTAAATTACATCGTGAACTCAACAGGACAAATACACTGTGAAAACTCAAAATAAATTTCCACTGATTTAAATCATTTAATTCTACAGTATAATAAATTAACATTTTCTATCAATATGTTCTGCTTTAACTAATAAACACCAAGTGCATATAAATATATATACATTTCCTTTTTTTTTCTCATGAAAACAATCAAAAGTTAAAGTCCATGTAAAACAGTATTAGGAGCTTACCGGCTGTCCTTCACAGTTTTTTAAAGATTTGCACAGTTTGTTCCTTGCATGTGATCAGCACTGTTTGTCACACATGCTGTGCCACTCTCTCAAACAAGAGTGAGAGGTCAGCCACACCTAAAATACTTTTCCAATTGCCAGGAGATTGACTCCACCTGGTTCTCATCTGTAGCAGGCAGAGCACAAAGAAGCAACAAGAGGGGAGTGGCTTCTTGGCAGTTCACCAGAACAATTATTACAGTTTTAGTTCATCCTTCATGTATGTGTGTTCTCTTTTCAAACTGAAATACAATTTATTATAATAAACAGGCAGGTAAAAAAAACAAAGATTATACTCAAGAGTAGCACTGAGTATAAACCAAAATATAAAGTTAAATGAAAATTTTTGTTCTTTTAGGACCAAAATGACAATACTTCAGACAGGTAACACAATCAGGCAAAAAAAAAAAAAAGTTTCCAAATCAGTTTCTTTCAATAAATAAT